TCGCACTCGGGGTCCGGCACCCTCCTCGCCGACCCGAGGTCCCCGGTTCCCGCGAGCCGGCCGACGTGCGGCCACACTCGACGCAGACGAGCGCCGACCCTGCGGCATCCTGCGGCGCGCAGCCTCCACCCGTGCATCTGCAAGCTTTGCGTGGTACGACCCGCTCGCGCTGCCCAGGCTGGAGCTCAGGCTGCCCCCTGCGGCCCCTGCGCGGCGATCGCGTGCGCCAGGCCTCTCTTCTTCGCGTGCCGGCACGGCCGCGAGAACCAGCGAGGAGCTCCAGAACAGCGACGGCAAGCTCCAGCAGCTCGACCAGGAGCAGGCGCAGCGAGTCGAGCAGGCAACGAAGCGCCAGGCGCAGCTTGGCAAGCACGCGACGCGAGGAGGCCCGACGGGCCGCCGTGGCGAGACGAACGGAGAGAGCATGTCGAACATCCACGTCGAGCGCGCCACGGCCTCCGCAACCATGCAAGTCAGCATCACGGCGCGGTGCCGCGGCGCCGTTCCGTGCAGGCGCACCGAGCGCCCAGCGCCAGGAGAGGCCAGCACCCCGACACGGGCACGACCGCCCACTGGCGCTGAGTCCGACGCGCCGGTTGCACCCGGGGCGGCCCGATGGCCGTGCCCAGTGCGATTCGAGTTGGAAATCTCCGGCTTTCGCGCCAGTGTTCTGCCAGCCAGCGGCGTGCCCGCACAGGTCCTCGAGCCGGCATTTGGTCGGATGGTGGCTGGTGATCGCTTGTGCCGCCTTGCCTCGCCTCCACGCAAGGCCACGCCGTTTTGTTGCATATTCGCAGTCCTTCGCGTCATTATTTTCCCGATCGCCGCGTCGTCTCCTCTTGAAAGTGTCCTCCTTCGTTTGGGCGTCGTGGTTTGTTTCTGTGTCGCCTCTGCAGAGCTGGTTCGTTGGAAGAGGTGTTCGCGTGAGAAGGGCGCCGCTTGTGCGCCAAATCTCGTGGGTCCACGTCGTTGATGTCACCACGCTGCTGCTGAGAAGCCGCATATACATATATGGGGGATTCCGACCCCGGGGACCCGCAGGGCCCCCCACCTTGTACATAGGTAGTGCCCCCTCCCAGGAGCCCTCCTGGTCCCGCCCCCGAGGCTCAAAGCAGCCCTAAATCCGCCCAAGATTGTTTACAGATGGCCCAAGAGCTCTCCAAGACGCACCAAGAGGACTCCAAGAGCGCTTTAAGACGGCCCAGGAGGTCCCCAAGGGTGCTTGAGAGGCTTCCGAAAAGGTGCTCGAGAAATTCGAATCTTTCACAAACTAGCGGGACATTTATATTTTTGGCCTCAGAGGCCCTCAAGACGGCCCAAGAGGCCTCCCAGAAGGTCACCAAAAGGCAAAAACAGCCAAATTCCAATCGGAAAACGTACGTTTTTAGCATATTCGCTTCTTCGGTCCTAACAGCGCCCAAGACGGACCCAAAGGGCCGCAAGACGGCCGTAAGACGACCCAAGAGGCACCCAAGAAGGCCCCAAGACGGCCCAAGAGAGCTCCAACACGGCCCATGAGAGCCCCCCGACGGCCCACGACGGTCCCCAGAGGTTCCCAACAGCAGGGGCAGGGACCGAGCACAGTACAGGCCCAACGTTCGAACAGGCCGCCGCTCCGCATGCGTATCAGCCAAACCTCGTGCACGCAGGGCCGACCTCCTCCTCCTCCTCCTCCTCCTCCTCCTCCTCCTCCTCCTCCTCCTCCGCCTCTTCTTCCTCCTCTTCCTCCTCTTCCTCCTTTTCTTCCTCCTCCTCCTCCTCCTCCTCCTCCGCCTCCTCGCCCTCCTCATCCTCCTCCTCCTCCTCCGCCTCCTCCTCCTCCGCCTCCGCCTCCTCGTCGTCGTCATCATCCGCCTCGTCCTCCTCCTCCTCGTCCTCGTCCTCGTCCTCGTCCCCCTCCTTGTCTTCCTCTTCTTTTTCCGTGGTGCTGATTGTCACGGTTGCGGGTTGCGGGGCTACTGGCGGTGTTGCTCTTAGTCGTTGACTCGGCGGTGGCGCTGCTGGTCGCCGTCGTGGTGGCGGCGTTGCTGGTCGCCGTTGCGGTGGTGGCGGTGCTGCTGGTGGTGCTGCTGGTCGCCGTCGTGTTGGTGGTCATGCAGGCCGCCGTCACGGTGGTGGCAGTGCCGTCGTCGTGGTGGTGGTAGTCGTCGTCGCGTTTGTGGTGGCAGTGCTGTTTGTCGCCGTAGTGGCGGAAGTGGTGCTGGTCGCCATCATGATGGTGGTGCTGCTGGTCACTATCGTGGTGGTGGTGCTGGTTGCCGTCGTGGTGCTGCGAGTCGTTGTCGCAGCGGCGTTGCTGGTCGCCGGCGCGATGCTCGTATAGTCGCCAGCGTGGTAGCGGAACTGCTGATGGCGAAGCTGCTGGTCGTCGTGGTGGTGGTGGTGGTGGTGGCACTCCCGGTCGTTGCCGTGCTGCGGGTGGTCGGTGTCGCGGTGGCGGTGCCGCTCGTGGTGGCGCAGCTGGTCGCAATGGTGCTGGTGCTGGTCACCGGCGTGGTGGTGGCGGCAATGGTCGCCGTCGGGGCGGTGGTGTTGCTGGTCGTCGCTGTGGTCTTGCTAGCCGCTGTCATGGTGGTAGTGGTGCGGCTGGCCGACATCAAGTTTGTGGTGCTGCTGGTCGCCGATGTAGTGTTGCTGGCCGCAGTTGTGGTGCTGGCGGTGCTGGTGGTGGTCCTGCTGGTCGCCATCGCGGTAGCGCTGCTGGTCGTAATCGTTGTGCCGCTTGTCGTAGTCGTCGTGGCGGTGGTGCTTGTGTTGGTCGCAGTCCTGCTGCTGGTCGTCGTTGTCGTGGTGGCGACGCTGCCGTTGGTGCTGGTCGTGGTGGTGGTGCTACTACTGCTGCTGGTGCTGCTGGTCGTCGTCGTGCTGGTGGCGCTGCTTGAACAAATGTGGGCAAACGTTCAAACGATTAAATCAAGTTCCCGGGCCGGCCTGGTTGCCCCCACACTTGTGGAAGGGGAGAGCAGGCCGACGGAGGGCGGACAATCCCGGGCTGTTTGGGGGGCCAGGGGGGGCCCACGAGGCCGCCAAAACTTTGCAAACCATACCCTTGAAACATAAGGTGTTTTGACCTACTCTTCTCCCTCCTCCTCCTCCCTCCTCCTCCTCCTCCTCCTCCTCCTCCTCCTCCTCCTCCTCCTCCTCCTCCTCCTCCTCCTCCTCCTCGGTGCGCCAGGGCCCTCGGGTCCGAGGAGGGCCCCGGGGCGGCGGACCGCGAGCGGGCGACGCACCGCGGGCCGCGCCGCGCGCGCCCGCGCCCGCGCCCGCCGCCGCGGCGGGCCGGGCGCTCGCGGCCGCCTAGCGCCGCTGCTGCTCCGCCACCCGCTTCCGCCGCTCCTCCTCGGCGTTCCTCCTCCTTGGCCTCGCCTCTCCTCCTCGGCGCGCCTCCTCGGCGCCCCTTCCCCTCCTCGCGCTAGTGTTTTCATTGCATTTCATTTCATACCGCTTGCGGCGACGTCCGGTCCGGCGCCCGCGCCCGCGGACGCGGACGCGCCGCGCCGTGCCGTCAGCCCCCGCGGCGGCTCACTCAGCCCTCACCTGGACGCCGCGAGCAGTGGAGAGAGCCGCTAGGTGGCCCCGGTTTGGTGGAGGTCTTTCTCTCCCCATCGTTGGCCCCCCAAAGAGTGTGAGTGCTCACCAGACCGGGCCGCCCATGGGCCCCGGCTCACACCGGGGGCGCCCATGCGTCGCCCCAGGGCCTGGTCAGCGGTGCAAGCGCAGGCATTTCGGGGGGACAGCAGAAGCAGCAAGCGACTGAGCTCCGCACCCTTCCCCGCATGCCCTGGGGCCAACGGTCAGACATGGCGAGCGCATAGACCACAAGGCGAAAGGCAACCAATGGGTCCAAGGGATGCCGTGCACGCCCATTGCAACCCAGAGGTAGCACGAGGACAACAGACCGGCGGAAACCCGGTGAGACGGCCCGAAGAGACGGGGAACGGGGGCAGAAGACCCCGCAGGCACGGCCCGAGTGCGACCAAAATTGCCCTGTGGCCAGCAGAGCGGACTGGCCTGGCCTTGTCAGACCACCCGAGGAAAAAAGCACGAAGAGGGGGCGAGGGGGGGAAAGGGGAGGAACGAAGCAGGGCACACTGACACGAGGCGCGGGGCTGTCCTGGCGCGTAGCAGGCGGCGGCAACCGGGGACCTGGCCGCTCACTGCGACTCACTCTGAGCCCGTGCCGGGTGGCTGACTTCACCTTACCTTTCCACACCACCCCCTGGGCAACGACGGGGGCCCTCCCCACCCACCGGGCCCTGCCCAGGTGCTGCGAACGCCCCTGGCGCCCCAGGGCGCGCAATGCAGAGGAGGCGGAGAAAAGAAAAACGGGGGCGGGAGCAGGGCTTTCCACCCGAACACCCAGAACTGGGCTCGACGCGGTGCACGCCCTTTGCACCCCAGAAGCGGCGCGCGGTCTACAGGCTGGCGGGAGCGAGGGGAGAGAGGCAGAACAGCAGCAGCGAGAGGAGAGAACGCAAGCCGTACGCGCTACCCCGGGTTACCCCAAGAGCGCCCTGCAAATCGCTACAGCAACATAGCGGACTTGTGCCACGCGCGTCTCTTCAGGCACCCCTTCCCTAAACAGTTGGAACAAAGCGAGGTCGCGCGCAGAGGGGGCAGGGGGAGCAATAGCCGGCCACGACGCTACCCGGTGACTATCTAAGGCGGGACACTGGAGGAGGGCGTGAGCCACGTCAACATCCTCAGCTCCGCACGCAGCACACCGCGCCAAGCGATGGGGCCGGATCGGGGTGCCCAGCACCGGGGAAGGCCAACACCCAGACATGCGCACAACAGCCCAAAGCCGGACCATTTGCCACGTGGGCGGGCCAAAATCAAGGTTCAGGAACTACGCGGGGCGCTGGGCAGGCGAGGACTGGAGACTAGAAAAAGGACGCTCGAGGGCAGGCAGAACCACAGGCCGCCTGCTGAAAAGCTGCCACGTCAGCCGCCGCCAGGGCAGGTCGAACAACACCGAGCTTATACTGCCTCAAACAGCCCTACCGCCCGCACAGCATCCAGAGGGTAAGCTTCCAATAGTTGGCCCTCAGTGACCTGGGGAGCGGGCGGAGAGAACGCCGCCATGTGAGAGAACACTTTTCTTGTCCAGGTGCTGACTGTTAGACCATCGGCGAGGGCCTACTTGGCGCGAGCAGGGTGCCCCTCCTGCTGGAGCTGAGCGCGGGCGAAGGTCATGATTGCGCGTTCCACCATTTTGCTCCCCAGCCGAAGGCGCCAGCCACATTGGGCAAGCACGGCCTCAGCTGGGACAGGGGGCCACAAGCGCAACCCAAGAGGCGGCGGGCCCATGCTGCCTGCATGGAATTAAGCTTCCACTGCGCACGTGCCGCGCAGAAGAGGAAGGGGGCAGGATACAGAATTGCCGACTCAACGCGGGCTGGCACCATGGCACAAGTGACAGGCAAGGCAAAGCCACCCGTCTCCCCCAAAAAGAGGACACTCTCAAAAAGACTGCGCCCCCTGGCCAAAGTTGCCTTCAACAGGGGAGCGAATGACAATTCATCGTCAAAAAGGACGCTCAATATTGCTTTTTCGGAGAGACCACAGGGCGCCCGACATCCCCCGGCGGGGCGCTGCCACACAGGGCAAGAGCCGCAGCCTTCCTTGAGCGGTAATTAAAACGCGCTCGGGTGCGGAAAGCGTATCGCGAGCAGGCTGACTCGGGCTCCGACGACGCGATCGCGCGCAGAGCGCCGGGGGAGGAGCACGCGACGGTCAAGTCGCCCACAAATGATAATGGAGGCAGACGCCACGCCCCCAACAGATCCATTAGGTACGCGCGGTCAGCTTCCGACGGCAGCCAGGTCGCCAACTCCCGGATCCTCGCGCAAGCGCCAGCGCGAGGCGGGTGCTCCGCAGCAGCCGCCGCCGCCGCCCCCGCAGCCGCCGCATGGAGTTCAGCTGACGCACTAACCATGGCCGGGCGGCCCTCCACCGGCGCTCCGAGAGGCACTCCGAGAGGCACCGCCAGACGAAAGTGCGGAGGAACCCATGCTGCCGATCCACACGGCAGCGTATGCGCCACCTCGTGGTGGAGCCACTTCAGCTGAGCGTTGAAAACTGGAACGCTAAACCGTCGACCTCGGGCAGCGCCGCCCCCGAGTTCAAAAGACGACGACGCGAGGCCCTGCAAAGCCACGAACTGGCGGTCGGAGGCAATGAAGTCATCTAGAAGCAACCAGTCGGTACCTCGCACTCCCGCCGAGTGGGCGTTGATGAGCATGGCCGGGTGGGACGCCACATCGAAGGCCCACTGCAGGTCAGTGACCGCCCAATAAATCGGCAGGCCCTGGGCCACTCGGCACTGGGCATGGAGGAGGAGGAGGGCAATTAGGAGAACCAACGGATCACCTACCCCACCCTGCTGGGCCACCCCACAATATGCCTCAAGCCGACGCCTCTTCCGGGAGGTTTAAAGGCTATCATTACATTTCATGTCATACCGCTTGCGGCGACGTCCGGACCGGCGCCCGCGCCCGCGGACGCGCCGCGCCGTGCCGTCAGCCCCCGCGGCGGCTCACTCAGCCCTCACCTGGACGCCGCGGGCAGTGGAGAGAGCCGCTAGGTGGCCACGGTTTGGTGGAGGCCTTTCACTCCCCATCGTTGGCCCCCCAAAGAGTGTGAGTGCTCGCCAGACCGGGCCGCCCATGGGCCCCGGCTCGCACCGGGAGCGCCCATGCGTCGCCCCAGGGCCTGGTCAGCGGTGCAAATGCAGGCGTCGCGGGGGGGCAGCTAGCAGGGGCAGCAAGCGACTGAGCTCCGCACCCTCCCCCGCATGCCCTGGGGCCAACGGTCAGACATGGCGAGCGCATAGACCACAAGGTGAAAGGCAACCAATGGGCCCAAGGGATGCCGTGCACGCCCATTGCAACCCAGAGGTAGCACGAGGTCAACAGACCGGCGGAAGCCCGGTGAGACGGCCCGGAACTCCGCGGGGCGCTGGGCAGGCGAGGACTGGAGACTAGAAAAAGGGCGCTCGAGGGCAGGCAGAACCACTGAGGCCGCCTGCTGAAAAGCTGCCAAGTCAGCCGCCACCAGGGCAGGTCGAACAACACCGAGCTTATATACTGCCTCAGAACAGCCCTACGTAACCCCGGGTCCGCCCGCACAGCATCCTGAGGGTAAGCTTCAAAGAGTTGGCACTCAGTGACCCGGGGGACGGGCGGAGAGAACGCCGCCATGTGTGAGGACACTTTTCTTGCCCAGGTGCTGACTGTTAGTCCATCAGCGAGGTCCAACATGGCGCGAGCAGGGTGCCCCTCCTGCTGGAGCTGAGCGCGGGCGAAGGCCATGAGTGTGCGTTCCACAATTTTTGTCACCAGCCGAAGGCGCCAGCCACATTGGGCAAGCACGACCTCAGCTGGGATAGGGGGGCCACAAGCGCAACCCAAGAGGCGGCGGGCCCATGCTGCCTGCATGGAATTAAGCTTCCACTGCGCACGTGCCGCGCAGAAGAGGAAGGGGGCAGGATGCAGAATTGCCGACTCAACGCGGGCTGGCACCATGGCACAAATGACAGGCAAGGCAAAGCCACCCGTCTCCCCCAAAAAGAAGACACTCTCAAAAAGACTGCGCCCCCTGGCCAAAGTTGCCTTCAACAGGGAAGCGAATGACAATTCATCGTCAAAAAAGACGCCCAATATTGCTTTCTGAGAGACCACAGGGCACCCAACATCCCCCGGCGGGGCGCTGCCACACAGGGCAAGAGCCGCGGTCTTCCCTGAGCCGTAATTAAAACGCGCTCGGGTGCGGAAAGCGTATCGCGAGCAGGCTGACTCGGGCTCCGACGACGCGATCGCGCGCAAAGCGCCGGGGGAGGAGCACGCGACGGTCAAGTCGTCCACAAATTGTAATGGAGGCAGATGCCACGCCCCCAACAGATCCATTAGGTACGCGCGGTCAGCTTCCGACGGCAGCCGGGTCGCCAACTCCCGGATCCTCGCGCAAGCGCCAGCGCGAGGTGGGTGCTCCGCAGCAGCCGCCGCCGCCGCCCCCGCAGCCGCCGCATGGAGTTCAGCCGACGCACAAACCATGGCCGGGCTGCCCTCCACCGGCGTTCCGAGAGGCACCGCCAGACGGAAGTGCAGAGGAACCCATGCTGCCGATCCACACGGCAGCTTATGCTCCACCTCGTGGTAGAGCCATTTCAGCTGAGCGTTGAAAACTGGAACGCTAAACCGCCGACCTTGGGCAGCGCCGCCCCCGAGTTCAAAAGACGACGACGCGAGGCCCTGCAAAGCCACGAATTGGCGGTCGGAGGCAATGAAGTCATCTAGAAGCAACCAGTCGGTACCTCGTACTCCCGCCGAGTGGGCGTCGATGAGCATGGCCAGGTGGGACGCCACATCGAAGGCCCACTGCAGGTCAGTGACCGCTCAATAAATCGCCAGTCCCTGGGCCACTCGGCACTGGGCATGGAGGAGGAGGGCAAGTAGGAGAACCAACGGATCACCTACCCCACCCTGCTGGGCCACCCCACAATATGCCTCAAGCCGACGCCTATTCCGGGAGGTCCAAAGGCCATCCACCACCGATGCCATCACGGTGGAGATGGAGATGGGCCGCAGGCAGTTGAGTTGACGTACCACGCGGGGCCCCGACTTATGCAGGGGTGAGATCTGACGGGCCGACCACAGATTGCTGGTGAGACCGCAGTGCCGAGAGATATTCGCCACTGCCCTTGTAAGCCGCCGGCCCATTGGCACAGGTGACTTCAGGGACGCATAACACCCCTTCAAAGCAGCCGACGTCGGCTTGAGAGCATCAAGCATGTCATCCACCTCGCGCATAGTGCACAACGGCTCCTGCGCGCCAAGCGGCGACGCTAATTCCGGGCCGCCCCCAGCAGCCCGGATGGACGTGACCAGATCCCGCTGCGCGATGGCAGCGCCCTCGTCAAAAGGGAAGTCATTGCGGACTCGCGCAAAGAGGTCCTCCTCAATTCGCGCCAGCATGTCAGAGGGGTCAAGGGCCTGGCCTGTCTCAGCATCAACAAGGGCAATCTTGAACGCACGCTGTTCTGCGAAGACACGCGAAACGAACCGCTCCGCCGAGCCAGGGCCCTGCGCCCGCAAACGCGCATACTGCATTGCAACGCGGTGCCGTTGGGCCCACGCCGCATCAGCCGCCGCCCGCTTAAAGTCCTCATGCTTATCGAATGCCTGCGGGTTAATCAGTTCCCTCGCGCTCCGCCGCTGGGCAACTCCCGCCACTACAGCTCGCGTGGCTCCCGCAGAATGGCCTAATAAAACGTACACTGCATCCCGCGCCCAAGCAGCCGCGTCCACGAAAATGCGTCTTTCTGCCTTCGAGGCCCCACCTCCGAACCAGCATGGGCGCAGCCACGGTTCACCAATGAGGGATTCGACGGACACGGCATGTGAGTGCAGGAGTGGGGCCGCGCTATCAAGGGCCGCGTCCCACTGAGGCCCCGTGCGCCACGCAACCCTGCCGAAGCCAACGTCATACCGTGGCGGACAGGAGACATGCATTGACCACACCACATGGCTATGATCAGAAGAAACGCCCGGCGCCTCGAGCACATGGACTGGCTGCACCTCCTGGTCGTTGGGCGCCAGCACCAGATCAATGCAGGTGCCAGAGGAATGCGTAGGCACCGGGGGGTTCCAGGCCAGGAGCTGAGCAGAACCCAACAGGGCTTCAATTGCACGGTCCTCAGCTGATGGGGCGCAATGCGCACACCTGCACCCTGGCTCATGCCGGAGGACCTGGGACAAGTGGATATTAGCATCGCCGCACACGAGGAAAAGAGAGCTCGGATATCGCGCCCTAAGCTCCTGCAAGGAGTGCAGAATAAACAGCCATGTGTTTACATCGCCACCAGGAGCAGGATAGCAAGCACAAAAAACGAGGAGCGGCGTGACAGCAGACGCGCTGTCATCCCAAATAGCAAACCATTGAGCCCGCGGGCCAGACACTTCCGCAATCGGCCGCAGTGCACAAGAGAGCTCCGTGCGTACGAAAACACCAACGGCCCCCCACTCCGTCGAACGTACCCCCAGCCACACATACGGAAAGCCAGACGGGAGACGCGCGCCAGGCGGAAAGCGGGCACCTGGCAGCACGCAGATATCCACCCCGCGCGCTACAAGTGCGTGCCCCACGGCCTCCAGCCCCCAGTCCAACAACGCATCCGTGCCTAACGCAATGAAGCCCGTTCTGCCTGGGATGAGGATGGCAAAACACAAGGGGGGGCCGGGGTCCGGAGCAGGCGGGCTTCTCGCTGCGAAAGCTGAGGCTTCAGTCTCTGCAATGCATCCCGCATGTGGGGGCGCGATGGGGCGCTGGTGGGGGCCCGCCTCATGGAGGGGTGACGCGACCTCCTCCCTAATGAAACGGCGGAGAGCATGCACGATGGTGGCGAGATGCTCGGCCGAGGGCCCCGCATTACTTACTAGCGCCGGCGGGGGGGCAGGAGCGCGCCCCTGCAGCGCCCGCGCGTCCTTCAAGGCCGCGGCACGCTCCAAGGGGCGGATCTCACTCCCCAACCACCGCGTGACCGCTGTGCGCAGGCTGTCCAAGGGCGCCGCCTCAGGTTCCATCGGGCCCCTAGCACTCGGGCACTCGGGGGCGGGTCCGCGCGGGCCGGGATATGTCACACTTGAGCCAAGGGCCGCGTGGAGTCGAACCCTGGCGGTTGGCGGCCCCCGCCAGTGCTCCAGCGGACTTGGGGCAGAGGGAGATGGGATGAGATGGGTCGCAGGCAGTTGAGTTGACGCACCACGTGGGGCCCCGACTTATGCAGGGGTGAGATCTGACGGGCCGACCACAGATTGCTGGTGAGACCGCAGTGCCGAGAGATATTCGCCACTGCCTTTGTAAGCCGCCGGCCCATTGGCACAGATGACTTCAGGGAAGCGTCACACCCCTTCAAAGCAGCCGACGTCGGCTTGAGAGCATCAAGCATGTCATCCACCTCGCGCATACTGTACAACGGCTTTTTTTTTTCCTTACCCCAAGGCTGCCGCGTCCCCTTGCGGCCAGCGCGGACCCCCCGCGCGCCCACGGTGAGCGCGGGGCGGGGGCGCGCCCCGAAGGAGCGGGTGGTTTTCGGCCGAAGCCAGGGCAACCCCGAACCTCCCGCCAGCTAGCCGCCCCGCCGGGAGCCTCCCGCCCAGCTGCCCCAAGCCCCTCGGCGCCCCAGGAGCGCCCGGGGCGCCCTCGGCCAGCCGCCGCCGCCAGCCTGCGCCTTGTGCCGCGGCGCCCGGTCCGGGGCGCCCTGGGCCTGCCGCCGCTGGTCGCCGCGCCCGCCGCCGCAGGTCGCTGGGCAGAGGGTTGTGGCTTAGGAGGGCTGAATCCTCCCCCCTCTGCCCGTGGACGAACCTGCGGCGGCGCTGCGCCTCGCAGCGGTGCGTTCGCCCTCCGCGCCGCCGCGCTGCCTCGGGCCAGCGCCAGCGTCTCCTCCGCCGCCTCCGCCGCCGCCGCCGCCTCCTCCTCCTCTGTGCTGCTGGCTGCTGTCGTGGTGCTGCTAGTCGCCGTGCTGCCCCTGGTCCTGGTGGTGCTGGTCGCCGTGGTGGTGCTGGTCGTAGTGGTGCTGGTCGCCGTGGTGGTGCTGGTCGCCGTAGTGGTGCTGGTCGTGGTGGTCCTCCTGGCCTGGTGGTGCTGGTCGTGGTGGTGCTGGTCGCTGTGGTGGTGCTGGTCGCCGTGGTGGTGCTGGTCGCCGTGGTAGTGCTGGTCGTGGTGGTCCTCCTGGTCGTGGTGGTGCTGGTCGCCGTGGTGGTGCTGGTCGTGGTGGTCCTCCTGGTCGTGGTGGTGCTGGTCGTAGTGGTGCTCCTGGCCGTGGTGGTGCTGGTCGCCGTGGTGGTGCTGGTCGTAGTGGTGCTGGTCACCGCGGTGGTGCTGGTCGCCGTGTTGGTGCTGGTCGTGGTGGTCCTCCTGGTCGTGGTGCTGGTCGCCGTGGTAGTGCTGGTCGTGGTGGTCCTCCTGGTCGTGGTGGTGCTGGTCGCCGTGGTGGTGCGGGTCGTAGTGGTGCTGGTCGCCGTGGTGGTGCTGGTCGCCGTGGTGGTGCTGGTCGTGGTGGTCCTCCTGGTCGTGGTGGTGCTGGTCGTAGTGGTGCTGGTCGTGGTGGTGCTGGTCGCCGTGGTGGTGCTGGTCGTAGTGGTGCTGGTCGCCGTGGTGGTGCTGGTCGCCGTGGTGGTGCTGGTCGTGGTGGTCCTCCTGGTCGTGGGGCTGGTCGTGGTGGTGCTGGTCCTGGCCGTGGTCGCTGGTCGTGGTGGTGGTCGCCGTGGTGGTGCTGGTCGTGGTGGTCTGGTCGTGGTGGTTCTCCTGGTCGTGGTGGTGCTGGTGGTGGTGCTGGTCGCTGTGGTGGTGCGTAGTCGTGGTGCTGGTCGCCGTGGTGGTGCTGGTCGTGGTGGTGCTGGTCGCCGTGGTGGTGCTGGTCGTGGTAGCCCTCCTGGTCGTGGTGGTGCTGGTCGCAGTGGTGCTGGTCGCCGTGGTGATGCTGGTCGCCGTGGTGGTGCTGGTCGCCGTGGTGGTCCTCCTGGTCGTGGTGGTGCTGGTCGTGGTGGTGCTGGTCGCCGTGGTGGTGCCGGTCGCCGTGGTGGTGCTGGCCGTGGGCGTGGTGGTGCTGGTCGTGGTGGTGGTGGTCATAGTGGTCCTCTGGCCGTGGTCGTGCTGGTCGTGGTGGTGGTGGTGCTTGTCGTGCTGGCCGTGGTCGTGGTGGTCGTGGTCGCCGTGGTGCTGGTCGTGGTGGTGGTCGTAGTGCTCCTCCTGGCCGTGGTCGCGCTTGTCGTGGTGCTGGTCGCCGTGTTGGTGCTGGTCGTGGTGGTCCTCCTGGTCGTGGTAGTGCTGGTCGCCGTGGTGTTGGTCGCCGTGGTGGTGCGTAGTCGCGGTGCTGGTCGTGGTGGTGGTGCTGGTCGCCGTGGTGGTGCTGGTCGCCGTGGTGGTGCTGGTCGTGGTAGTCCTCCTGGTCGTGGTGGTGCTGGCCGTGGTGGTGCTGGTCGCTGTGGTGGTGCCGGTCGCCGTGGTGGTGCTGATTGTGGTGGTGCTGGTCGCCGTGCTGGTGCTGGTCGCCGTGGTGGCGCTGGTCGCCGTGGTGGCCTTCCTGGTCGTGGTGGTGCTGGTCGAGGTGGTGCTGGCCGCCGTGGTGGTGCCGGTCGCTGTGGTGGTGCCGGCCGTGGTCGTGGTGGTGCTGGTCTTGGTGGTGGTGGTCGTCGTGGTGGTCCTCTGGCCGTGGTCGTGCTGGTCGTGGTGGTGGTGGTGCTGGTCGTTCTGGCCGTGGTCGTGCTTGCCGTGGTCGTGGTGGTGCCGGTCGTGGTGGTCGTGGTGGTCCTCCTGGCCGTGGTCGCGCTGGTCGTGGTGGTGGTCGCCGTGGTGGTGCTGGTCGTGGTGCTGGTCGTGGTGGTTCTCCTGGTCGTGGTGTTGCTGGTGGTGGTGCTGGTTGCTGTGGTGGTGCGTAGTCGTGCTGCTGGTCGCCGTGGTGGTGCTGGTCGTGGTGGTGCCGGTCGCCGTGGTGGTGCTGGTCGTGGCAGCCCTCCTGGTCGTGGTGGTGCTGGTCGCTGTGGTGGTGCTGGTCGCCGTGGTGGAGCTGGTCGTGGTGGTCCTCCTGGTCGTGGTGGTGCTGGTCGCTGTGGTGGTGCTGGTCGCCGTGGTGGTGCTGGTCGCCGTGGTGGTGCTGGTCGTGGTAGTCCTCCTGGTCGTGGTGGTGCTGGTCGTGGTGGTGCTGGTCGCTGTGGTGGTGCTGGTCGCCGTGGTGGTGCTGGTCGTGGTGGTAGTGCTGGTCGTGGTAGTCCTCCTGGTCGCGGTGGTGCTGGTCGTGGTAGTGCTGGTCGCTGTGGTGGTGCCGGTCGCCGTGGTGGTGCTGGTCGTGGTGGTGCTGGTCGCTGTGGTGGTGCTGGTCGCCGTGGTGGCGCTGGTCGCCGTGGTGGTCCTCCTGGTCGTGGTGGTGCTGGTCGAGGTGGTGCTGGCCGCCGTGGTGGTGCCGGTCGCTGTGGTGGTGCCGGCCGTGGTCGTGGTGGTGCTGGTCTTGGTGGTGGTGGTCGTCGTGGTGGTCCTCTGGCCGTGGTCATGCTGGTCGTGCTGGTGGTGGCGCTGGTCGTGCTGGCAGCAGTCGTGCTGGCCGTGGTCGTGGTGGTGGTCGTGGTGGTCCTTCTGGCCGTAGTCGCGCTGGTCGTGGTGCTGGTCGTGGCGGTCCTCCTGGTCGTGGTGGTGCTGGGCGTGGTGGTGCTGGTCGCCGTGGTGGCGCGTAGTCGTGGCGCAGGTCGCCGTGGTGAGGCTGGTCGCCGTGGTGGTGCTGGTCGTGGTGGTCCTCCTCCTCCTCCTCCTGGTCGTCGTGGTCGTCAACGTGCTGGTGGAGGTGCTGTTCGTAGTTGTGCTGGTGGTGGTGGCGGTGGTTGTGGTGCTGTTCGCAGTAGCTCTGCTGTCGGCGTTCCTGCGAGCTGCTGTGCCCCGCCCTGCCCGCGCGCGCCCCCGCGCGGGGGCCGGTGCTCTCAGGGGAGCGCCGACAGAACGTCCCCTCGCCAGGGATTCTCCCCGTCTGTCGCTAGCGTTTCAGAGGGCACGTGCTCGAGCAGACTCGCGGCCAGGGCGTCGTGGATGGCGTGCGCCAACATGCCGCTCCACCTGCGCAGCCGCGCGGTCGCAAGCGATCCTCGCAGCGCCGCCGGCGCGCTCCTCGCCCGGGCGCGGGCCAGGGCAACGAGGAGTTTGTACGCCTCCTCGTCCCAGCGGCCGCCCGTCTCTGCTCCGGCTACGAGCAGGTAGCCCCGCCGCGAGCCCACCAGCTCAGGGTAAGTCGTTTGCTTGCGGCGCCTCGCCCGTTTCAGCGCGAGTCCTGGGCGGAGCCTCTGCGCAATCGGCCTGCCGGTGGCCCTCAGCGGGGACACGATGCAGGCGTCGATGGCGAGCTGCCTGCCGTGGTAGGCAGGGAGGCCGTCAGCCACCATCTCGATGCGGCGCCCGTCGTTGGCGGCAATGCCCGGGAGGTCCATGTCGCGCAGGAACGCGTCGGTGCGGACACGGCCTCCTGCCTCCCGGCACACCCGGGCCCACATCCGCTCGATGGGAGCGCCGCGCTTCAGCAGGCGTCCGCTGCGGGGGCAAGCTGCTCTGTGGTCGCCTCTCGTCCAAGTGGGCCTGGCAGGAGCGCCCGTTGCACCTGCTTGCCGTGGCGTCCAGCGGCAAGCGGAGCCGTCTCTGGAGCAGTGCCCGGAAGCGCTCTGGCGTGAACGTGCTTTCTGGCGTCGAGGGGATCAGGGCCAGGTGCCGTCCGCCGCAGCGGCCCCCCTGCGAGTCGAGCATCCACTGCTGGTCGTCTGTGAGGCTCGGGAGAACGACCTCCTCCCTGTAGCGCCGCTCTCGGGCTGCTGAGGCGTGGTACGGCCATCCGTGCTTCCACTCGCCCGGCTCTGGCTCTGTCTGTTCAGGGCGCGCGCCGTCCCAGACCTCCGGCCAAGTTGGGCACGTCGCGAAGCCGTCGCGGGCGGCGGCAGCCCTCGCGCGCTCAGCTTCCTGGAGGCACGAGGCTGCGGCGCCTGTCCCGGCGCGGAGGGCGGCGGTGAGCTCCGTTGCTGCTGTAGGGTTTCTTTGTCGCAACATGGGGAGCGCGTCCGCCCAAGACGCCCAGTACGCGCACTCGGCCGTGCGCGCGGCTGACCTGAGTCCAAGGCCTCCGAGGCCGAGCGGCAGCGAGCTCACTCGGAAGAGCCTCTCTGCTTCAGCTGGCGCGGGGTCGAGGTCGAGGAGGTCGTGTAGCGCCTCCTGCAGCCCGCGGTCGCGGGCCTCGGCGTAGGACCGCGACAGCGTCGGAGGCAGCGTGCGCAGGACGTGATTGCACCTCGGCACCGCGCAGTACAGCAGGAGCGCCCAAGCGCACTGAGGGTCTGGCAGACTGGGGAATTCTTGTAGAAAGCTGCGCTCCTCGCCCGCCCTCTGCTGCAGTCAGCCGGGCCGCGAACGCCGCGGTGCCCAGGGGCGCGCCGAGCACCTTGAGACCGCGGTGCTCCTCAGGCGTGCCGGCGCCGCCAACCCACACGTCTGTGCCCAACGACAAGTGCCCTGCTGGTTCGAAGCCGCCCCGGTTCCACACGCGGCACTTGCCGAGGTTCGCCTCGATCCCTGCCCACTCGCGCATGGCAGCGGTAACCACGCGGAAAGCCTCTGTGGCGCGTGCTGGTCTGCAGACAATGTAGACGTCGTCCAGGTAGGCGATCAGCGTCTCGCCCGGCTGAAGCTGCGCGCGGGCTCTCTCCAGGGCGCCATGCTGAGGGAGTACAGCGCCGGCATGAGCGGGTCGCCTTGCTCTCCGCCTTCTCCCTGCCTCACCTCATGCGCGACTCCTGCATCGTCTGTCCAGAGGTACGTCGACGGCTGGCCGTAGGAGAGCAGGACGAAAGGGACCATGGCGGAGGCCTCAGGCAGCGAGAGGAGCTTCTCGATCATGCGGTCACGGCGCGCGTGGTCGAAGGCCCCAATGCCGTCGATGCTGACGATGGTCGCCGCGGGGTCGGAGTCCGCGGTCGCTCGGAGGAGGTGGGCAGCGCTGTCGGTGCCCGCTCTCGTCGAAAGCGCGTACTGGAACGGCGCGCAGGCGCCGTCCATCTCGGGCCCATACTGCCGGGAGAGGGCCTTGCCCACGAGCCGGCGGAAGGCGCCGCCTGCAACGATGCCTCGCGCGCGGCCGTTGTCCTTCAGAAGCGCCGCCATGCGGCCTGTGCCCAGGGCGCGGGCAACGCTCGCTGGGATCTCGGCCCGCGCGTAGCGCTCATCCGCGGCAGCTTGCAGCTCGAGCGCCTCGTCGTCCAAGGCCAGCTTGAGCAATTCAAAGCTTGCTCCGCTCAGCGAGCTGGAAGACCCTTTCGGGGCGGAGCGGGCGCAGTCGGTCCAGATGCCGCGGTCGAGCTCGACGAGCCGAGCCGGCTGGAAGGCTCGGGCGGCAGGCGGCATGTCGGCGGCGGGCCTCGGCGGTCGCCGGGCGGGGTCCCGCAGTTCGGCCAAAGTCTCCGCCGTGCCCGGCGCCAGCCCGCGCGAGGCGAGCAGCTGCCGCGCCTTGCTGAGGCCCCCTGCTCTGACCAGCGCCACCGCGTCTTCCAGGAGGCGCTGGCGCCTCGCCTCGGCGTCGCCCGCGCCGCGCGCTCCTCCCGGAGGCCGCTGCCCTTGCAGGCTTGGGGCCAGCAGCGCTTCCAAGGAGCCGCCCTCGAACTGCTCCAGTCGCGCTTCGAGCTCTCGCCGCCCTGGCGCCCCAGTGCTCGTGGTCCGTCGCAGCAGCGTGCGCCAGATGAGAACCAGGAGCTTCCAAGCCCTCACCTTCTGCAGCCCGTCGGCGTCGCCAGGAAGGGCGTCTGCGCGCAGGACCTCCTCGAGGGCCGTGTGGTAGAGTTGGCGAAGGCGGCCGCGGAGGAAAGCTGGCGGCGCCCGGATGCACGGCACCCGCCGGCGCAGTTCGGCCTCCAAGTCCACTGCGTCAAGAAGCGCCCAGGCGGCGTCGGGGAAGGCAGACTGCGCCGGGCGCCCGTTTCGTCGCCTGCCTCCGCCACTGCGCGGCGGCGCTGGCGCAGGCGGCGCGGGGCCAGCGCTGTCGGAGGCGCTGTCGCTCTGGCTGTGGCTGCCCTCTTCCTCGCTGCTCTCGTCGTCGTCGTCGCTGCTCGGGTCTCCTCTGCCGCCTGCTCGCCCTCTGCCTCCTCGGGCGCCTCTGCCCCCTCTGCCTCCTCCAGCGCCTTTTCGTCCTCTGCCTCCTCTTGCGCCTCTCCCTCCTCTGCCTGGTGCGGCGCCTCCCTCTCCCTCCGCCGCCGCGGGCGCTGGCTGCGGCTCCTCCTCGGCGCCTCTTCCGCGCGCGTCTGGCGGGCCCGGTGCTCTGGATCCAGGCCCTGCTGCCGGGGCGGGTCTTGGGGGCAGCCCGCGCGCAAGCCAGGCCCTGTAGGCGCCAGCCTGCACCTCCACTGCGCGGATGAAGTCCACCCCCCCGAAGATCTGCATCACGATGTCCTGGGCGATCGGCTGCACGTATCCTCTGTCGTCGGCAAGGAGCCCTACCACCGCTGGCAGCCCCAGTTGGTCCCCGTGCAGCCCGTCTCCGAGAGCCTGCGGCAGCAGGGGGCCCGCCGCGCGGAAGGCGGACACGTCGGCGGGCGGCCGCTCTCGGAGGAACGCCGCGGCGTTCTCCCACCAGTGTGCTGCGGCAGGGTGCTGTCGCCAAGCGGCGGCTTCCTCCCCGTCAAGCTGGCCAGAGGCGTCCAGGAGGAGCGGCACATACATCCAGGAGTTAAGATAGCGGCTGGTCTCTGCAGCGTGTCGCGGTGGCGACCAGCCGCTGAACTGGGTTCGTGGGCCGTCCGCCGCCGGTGGGTCCGGGCCCCCGCCTCCTGCTCCTGGCTCTGGCGGCCGTTCCGGCTGTGCGGCCCTGGCTCGGGCAGCGCTGTGGCGGCGCAGCTTTCGCAGAGCCAGTCTCCCTGCCACCTCCAAGGCCCTCCGGCGTCCCCGCTGGCCGGGGCGACCCACTCGACCTGCCCTGCCCTGGCTGGCCGCAAGGGCACTGCGGCGGCCTCTCGCCCAGCGGCGGCGGGACCTCGCTACCGAGCGGGGCGACATCGCAGGCGGCGCATTCCCAGCTGCCCGTCAGCCCTTCTGGCCCGCGCGAGTGCCGCCATCGCAAGGGTCGCTCCGGGTGGCGCGGGCACATGGCGATCGCGTGCGGTGCCGGCCCCTCCGGCAGCACGAGGGGCCCCCCTCGGCACCGATTGGCCCGCTCCTCGTCGGAACTCGGGTCGCCTGCGACTCCCCGGCAAGGCAGGCAGCGGCACCCTCGGAAAGGGGGCCCCCCGCCGCGCCCAAGGTGGCCCGCCAGCTCCGTTAGCCGCGCGGCAGAGTTCGGGCCGCCGCCCCACCTGTGGTTGCAGAGTGGGCACGCTGCGTCCTCTACCCGGCTGGAATCGCCGCCCGAGTTCCGCAGGTGTGCGAGTCCGCGGCGGAGAGGGCGAAACCGGGCTAGGCAGGCCGCGTTGAAGCAGTGCGGGACGCGGCCGCAGTCGGGCCATTGCACCCTCGAGTCGTCGAGCGGCTCCTGGCACATGTAGCAAACCTCGCTGGCCTCCGGCTGCTCCGGCTCCTGGGGGTCCGGCCCCTGCTGTGGTTGCTGCGGCTGTTGCTGCTCCTCGGCCGCCGCGCGTTCGGCTGTCCCCCGCGGCGGCGCGAACAGCCCAGAGAAGTCCCATCCGGCCGCAGGCGCCTGTCCGAACACGGCGCTAAAGTGGCTCCGTCCGGCAGGAAGCGGCGACAGAGACCGGCCCGGCGAACCGAAGAGCTCTCGAGGGGGAGTCTCGGCCTCCGCCGGCTGGGGCGCGGATTCGCCCGAAACCTCGCCCGCTGGCTCGGGCAGGTCCGCTTGCGAGCGTCCGCGCGGCGGCGTGGCTGGGGCAGCGTCGTTGCGCGGTGGCCCTGGGTGGCTCGCCTCACCCACGCGCTGTCCGCGGTAGCCGTGCAGCGCGTCTCGCTGGTCCCTCCTGGTGTGCGCAGCTCCTGTCGTGGTACAGGTGGCGCTGCCAGTGTCACTGCTGGTGCTGGTGCTGGTGCTGGTGGCGGCGCTGCCGGTCGCTGTCGTGGTGTTGCTGTTGGGCGCTGTCGTGGCGGTGGCGTTGGTGTTGCTGCTGGTCGCTGTCGTGGTGGTCGCTCTCGTCGTGTGCGCGGTCGTTGAGAGGCGCCGCCTGCTGCCGTGGCTGTGTGCTGGCTGCCGTCGCTCTGGTCGCCGCGGGACTGCCTGCCCTCGCGCGTTCCTCCCTGAACCTCCCCCTGAGACTTCAGAGTCCCTCCAAGAATACGTTCTTCCTGAGATCTCGAGGTCAGTCCGGGAGTCTGGGTCAGTGCAGCGCTGGGTGGTGCTCGTGGTGTCGGTGGTGCTGCTGGTGGCTGTCGTGGCGGTGGTGCTGCTGCCGTTGTTTTTCGCCGTCGTGGCTGTGGCGGTGCTGCTGGTGCTGCTGGTCGCCGTCGTGGTGCTGCTCGTTGCTGTCTTGGTCGCCGTCGTAGTTTTCCTCCGCCGGTGGCCGCAGTTGGGTGCTGGCTGCTGTCGCTCTGGTCGCTGCGGTGTTGCCTGCTCTCGAAGCGCCCGTGGCGAAAGTGCGCTCTGGTGACGAGCGGCGCGCCCTCGCCGACCCCCGCCCGCGCCATCTCTCGGTCGTCGTCGTCGTTGTGCTGCTGCTTGTGGCGCCATTGTTGGGGGTCGTACTGCCTCTTGTTGTCGAAAATGTTGTCGCGTTGCTCCTGTGGGCTTGCTGCGCAAGCCGGGGCGCCACCGGGGCCCGCAGCGGAGCCGCGCGAACCCCGATTGGGAACTGGCCCCAGGGGAGTCCTACCGCGGGAATGGGCTCTCTCCCTGGGGGGCACGGGCTGCAGCTGACGCCAGCCCCCTCCCTCGGAAGGGGCTGGAGGGCTGGCGGCCAGACGGCTGGAGTGGCCGTCTGGGGTGGCGGAGGGCCCTGCTGGCTGCCGCTGCTGCTGCTGCTTTTGCTGTTGCTTTTGCTGCTGCTTTTGCTGCTGCTTTTGCTGCTGCTGCTGCTGCTGCTGCTGCTGCTGCCAGGGGGCTGCCGTCCGCAGTCGTTGGCTGCGTGCTGTGGTGCTGTGGTGGTGCTGATCGTCACTGTGGTGCTGGTCGTTGACTGCGTGCTGTGGCGCTGGTCGTTTGGTGCGTGCTGTGTTGCTGGTCGTTGGCGTTGGTCGCTGTGGTGCTGATCGTTGTGGTGCTGTGTGCTGCTGCTGCTGCTGCTGCAGCAGCTGCTGCAGCTGCTGCTGCTGTTGCTGCTGCTGCTGCTGCTGCTGCTGCTGTGTTGGTCGCTGTCGCGCTAGTCGCTGTGGTGTTGGTCGTTGCTGTGGTGCTGGTCAATATCGCCGCCGTGGTGCTGGTCTTGGTACTGTGTGCTGCTGGCGTGGTGTTGCTGGTCTCGTGGTCTTTCCCTCAGTGGTCGCTGTGGTGTTGCTGGCTGTGCTTGCTGCTCTTGGGGCTGCTGGTCGCCGCTGCTGTGTTGCTCGTGGTGCTGCTGCTGGCCGCGGTCGTTGTCTTCGTTGCGGTGCTGGTCGTTGGGTGCGCGCTGTGGTGCTTGTCGGTGGTGCTGGTCGCTATGGTGCTGGTCGCTGTGGTGCTGTGTGCTGCCGCTGTGGTGCTGGTCGCTGTGGGCGCGTGCAGTGGCGCTGGTCGTTGGCTGCGTGCTGGGGCGCTGGTCGTTGTCGTCGCCGTGGTGCCGGTTGGCGCGGTGCTGGTGTGGTCGCCGTCGTGGCGGTGTAGCTGGTGGGGCTGGTAATGCCGCGGGTCGTAGTTGTGAGCAGGGCCTGCCGTGTGAAGCAATGCAGAATGTAGCACAGCAGCTGGCCCGGTCAATTTCGCAACAGTTCTTGTCATGCGTGCATGGCTGTCGTGGCGGTGGTGCTGCTGCCGTTGTTTTTCGCCGTCGTGGCTGTGGCGGTGCTGCTGGTGCTGCTGGTGCTGCTGGTCGCCGTCGTGGTGCTGCTCGTTGCTGTCTTGGTCGCCGTCGTGGTGGGCGCCGTGGCGGGCGCCGTCGTAGTTTTCCTCCGCCTGTGGCCGCAGTTGGGTGCTGGCTGCTGTCGCTCTGGTCGCTGCGGTGCTGCCTGCTCTCGAAGCGCCCGTGGCGAAAGTGCGCTCTGGTGACGAGCGGCGCGCCCTCGCCGACACCCGCCCGCGCCATCCCACGGTCAGCGTCCTGTCGCCGGTGTGGGCGCCGGAGCTGAGAGTACCCATCCCCTTCATGGGGCGCTGGCTGTCCTGGCTTGGCCTCCTGGTCGCGGCGGCCCTCGCCATGCCTTCTCCTGCCGCCCTCCTGTGCCTCCTCACGCGGCTGCTGCTGTGCAGGCGGGCTCCGGTGCTGTCGCTGCTGCGGCTGCCGCTTCTCGTCGCGTGTCGCCGCGCCCCTGGCTGCGGCGAGTGCCTTCCGGAGCACGCTTAGCGCCCACCTCGCGTCGAACCTCGCGGCCAGGCAAGCGCGCCGACACTCGAAAGCCGCCGCCTGCTCCACGAGCGCGTCGTGCTCGGCGTACGCGGCCTCGAGGGCACTGGCCGCCAGCCGCCGCGTGGCTCGCCGGCGGCCGCGGCGAAGGACCCGGCGAGCGTAGGCCGCCCGGCGCGGCGCCCTCTCGTTCGCGCCTGCCCCCTGCGGCGCCTCGTGGTCGCGTTGCGCCTCCTTTGCCTCCTCGTGCTGCTCTCTCGCCTCTTCCTCCTCGGCCTCGTCAGGTGCGTCGCCCGGCGCTGGCGCCGAGCGCCGCGGTTGCTGCTCTGGCTGTCGCGCCTGGCTCCCGAGTGGTCGCCTCGGGGGCCCTCGCCGCACCGGCGTCCAGAGACCAGGCGGCGGACCCGGGTCGGGCGGCGGCGGCGGCCCCGCGCCGCTTGTCCAGGAAGCCCCCCAGGGGGCCCCCAGACCCTTCGTGGACAGGGTCTTCCTGGTTAGACCCTGGCGGTGTCCACCCCCAGGGGGGTCATGTCTGCCAGGGTCGGGCCGTCGCGTCGTGGCGCCTGTGCTGTCGTAGTCGTGTTGCTGGTGCTGGTGCTGGTGCTGGTGCTGGTGCTGCTGTTGCTGGTGCTCGCCGTCGTTGCCCCGCTGCTGGTTGCGGTGCTGTCGCTTGTGCTCGTCTTCGTCTTGGTGGTGGTGCTGCTGCTGGTGCTGCTGGTCGCCGTCGCGGTGGTGCTGGCGGTTGCCGTTGTGGTGGTGGCGTTGCGGGGCGCCGTCGCGGCGGCGGCGGTGCTTCTCCTTTGCCGCTGCCGCCTCCTCCTCCGCCTCTGCCGCCGCTTCCTCCTCTTCCTCCTCTTCCTCCTCTGCCGCTCTGCCTCTGGCCCTGCTCGGCGTCGCCCTCTGCCGTGCGCCCGGCCTCCCTTCAAAAGCGGTGGCCGCCCTCCCTGTGCAGCCTCTGCCTCTGTCGGCCTGCATGGCGGGGCGTCGCCCCGGCAACGGGGCCATCCCGGCGGGCGCCGCGGGCCGGCCCGCCGCCCCCGCCCTGCGCGAGCGCCCGGTCAGTTTGGCGGCTCTTTCTGGCCCATCCTCGGCATCTGGCGCGGCCGTGCTGCTGGCTCCGCCTGCGCGTCGCCTCCCTCCTGCTGCGCCGCCTCTGCTCCCCCCGAGCGGCTGCGCGGCAGGTCGGCGCGCAAGCTCCTGCCCGCGGGCCCGGGCGAGGGCGCCATCGCGCGCAGGCCTGCCCCCCCGGCGCGCGCGCGAGCCCCGAGCCCCCGAGCCCCCGCCGGCTTGAGCCAAGCGCGTCAAGCGGCGACACTAATTCCGGGCCGCCCCCAGCAGCCCGGATGGACGTGACCAGATCCCGCTGCGCGATAGCAGCGCCCTCGTCAAAAGGGAAGTCATTGCGGACTCGCGCAAAGAGGTCCCCCCCAATTCGCGCCAGCATGCCTGAGGGGTCAAGGGCCTGGCCTGTCTCCGCATCAACAAGGGCAATCTTGAACGCGCGCTGTTCTGCGAAGACACGCGAAACGAACCGCTCCGCTGAGCCAGGGTCCTGCGCCCGTAAACGCGCACACTGCATTGCAGCACGGTGCCGTTGGGCCCACGCCGCATCAGCCGCCGCCCGCTTAAAGTCCTCATGCTTATCGAATGCCTGCGGGTTAATCAGTTCCCTCGCGCTCCGCCGCTGGGCAGCTCCCGCCACTACAGCTCGCGTGGCTCCCGCAGAATGGCCTAATATAACGTGCACTGCATCCCGCGCCCAAGCAGCCGCGTCCACGAAAATGCGTCTTTCTGCCTTCGAGGCTCCACCTCCGAACCAGCAGGGGCGCAGCCACGGTTCACCAGTGAATGAGGGATTCGACGGACGCGGCAAGTAAGTGCAGGAGTGGGACCGCGCTATCAAGGGCCGCGCCCCACTGAGGCTCTGTGCGCCACGCAACCCTGCCGAAGCCAACATCATACCGTGGCGGACAGGAGACAGGCATTGACCACACCACAAGGCTATGATCAGAAGAAACTCTCGGCGCCTCGAGCACATGAACTGGCTGCACCTCCTGGTCATTGGGCGCCAGCACCAGATCAATGCGGGTGCCAGAGGAATGCGTAGGCACCGGGGGGGTCCAGGCCAGGAGCTGAGCAGAACCCAACAGGGCTTCAATTGCACGGTCCTCAGCTGATGGGGCACAATGCACACACCTGCACCCTGGCTCATGCCGGAGGACCTTGGACAAGTGGATATTAGCATCGCCACACACGAGGAAAAGAGAGCTCGGATATCGCGCCCTGAGCTCCTGCAAGGAGTGCAGAATAAACAACCATGTGTTTACATCGCCACCAGGAGCCGGATAGCAAGCACAAAAAACGAGGAGTGGCGTGACAGCAGCCGCGCTGTCAGAATAGCAAACCATTGAGCCCGCGGGCCAGACAATTCCGCAATCGGCCGCAGTGCACAAGAGAGCTCCGTGCGTACGAAAACACCAACGGCCCCCCACTCCGTCGAACGCACCCCCAGCCACACATACGGAAAGCCAGGCGGGAGACACGCGCCAGGCGGAAAGCGGGCACCTGGCAGCACGCAGATATCCACCCCGCGCGCTACAAGTGCGTGCCCCGCGGCCTCCAGCCTCCAGTCCAACAACGCATCCGTGCCTAACGCAATGAAGCCCGTTCTGCCTGGGTTGAGGATGGCAAAACACAAAGGGGGGCCGGGGTCCGGAGCAGGCGGGCTTCTCGCTGCGAAAGCTGAGGCTTCAGTCTCTGCGATGCATCCCGCATATGGGGACGCGATGGGGCGCTGGGGGGGGGCCCGCCTCATGGAGGGGTGACGCGACTTCCTCCCTAATGAAACGGCGGAGAGCATGCACGATGGTGGCGAGATGCTCGGCCGGGGGGGCCGTCTTACTTACTAGCGCCGGCGGGGGGGCAGGGGCGCGCCCCTGCAGCGCCCGCGCGTCCTTCAAGGCCGCGGCACGCTCCAAGGGGCGGCTCTCGCCCCCCAACCACCGCGTGACCGCTGTGCGCAGGCTGTCCAAGGGCGCCGCCTCAGGTCGGGCCCCTAGCACTCAGGCGCTCGGGGGCGGATCCGCGCGGGCCGGGATATGTCGCACTTGAGCCAGGGGTCGCGCGGAGTCGAGCCCTCGCGGTTGGCGGCCCCCGCCAGTGCTCCAGCGGACTTGGGGCAGAGGGGCAGAAGCGGAGCAGAGAGAGGGCTGGGCGGGGCCGCGTGATGCGCGCATGTCACGCTAAAGACGACAACAGACAGGGAGGACAAGAGCAAGGGACGGGGCGAAAGCAGGAAGGAAGGAGGGAAGGCAGGGCACGGAGCAAGGGGGGGACAACGACGGACGACGAGGACGACGACGACAACAACAACGACGACAACCACTTTGCGAACAGTGGGTGAAATAAATCTCTGGAAGGGAGGATTCGATGACACCCGCCCCCCGGCACGGGTCAGCCGGGCGCTGCCCGACCGGCGACCGGCGTCTATGGCAGTCATCTGGCAACCGTGGTCAAACATCCGTGCCCACAAAGGAGGATCGTAGCACCGGTAGGAGCAAGTCAGGCGGGATGATAGGGCAACGGCACGAATGGGCGGGAGCACTGGCGCACGCTCTTTTTCCGCCTGCCCAGCGCGCTGGGCCCGGTATATGAAAAGATGAGGGGTTATTAATGCTGGCAAGGCAAAGCAGGCCGCCCAATTAGCACTCGAACCTTAGTCCACAAGACAGCAAGTGCGCGAGTGTTTTGCGCAACGTCACGCGCTTCTAGGCTTCGGGGGGCCGAACGGAAGAAAAAAAAAAAAAAAAAAAAAAAAAAAAAAAAAAAAAAAAAAAAAAAAAAAAAAAAAAAAAAAAAAAAAAAAAAAAAAAAAAAAAAAAAAAACTACGACAACTACTACTGGTTGCGCACCACTCACTCAGATGCTAGACCCAACCGATCCTGACACTCTCACTGATACCGCGGCAAGGGGGGGGGCCCACCGGCCGGCGCTGCAGCGAAGGCGGCGACAGCGGCCGAGCCAGGGGCCCCAAGGGCCTGCCGGGCAGACAGGCGGGCTGGCGCAGCAGCGGAAACCAGCTCTGCGCGAGGCTCCGGGACGCTGGGCACTACCGACTGGACGGGCCCGAAGAGGTACAGGAGCTCCTCAATGTGTTCTGAGATAACGGTGCGGCAAGCCCTCACGAAGACCCTGCCCGGTCCACGGTTGACGAGCTGGAACATCATGGTCTGCTTGGGGCTCAAGCTCCACGTGACTTCAACTGCAGGCTGCGTGTTATCACCCCTCGGAACCCCACACGGCGCCGGGTGCGACGGCGTAGACTTGGGGGGGGTATGTGGGCGCCGAGAGCGACCATGACGTTGTGCATGTCAACCTCTGAGTGGCACTGGGTAGCAAATGCCAGGACGAGCTTGACGGCACGCTTGTTTCCCACCGCTTCATGGGCCTTAGCAAGCCAGGCGGTGTGAGCCGACTTGACCTCATCCCAGGTGGACAGCTGCGCGTACACTCGGGGGTCCACGGGCGCTCCTGGGCGCACAACACCACTTGGTGGGCGCACCGTGCCCAAGGCAAGGGGCGCGGCTGGGGTACCTGCGAGGGCGGCTGGGGCGCCCTCGGCGCCCAGGGGAGGCACCGGCGGGATGGGCGCGGCACCCGGGGCGCGGTGCGCTGCCGGGGCCGCAGCCGGCGCGGGTGGAGCACCCGCGAGTCCTGGGGGCCACGGCGCAGGTTCAGCAGGGCCGGCCATAGGACCAGCTGGGGCAGCCGCTGCGTGGCCTGCCGCCAGAGGGGGGGGCCGAAGACAAGTTCTGTTGGGGCGCAGCGGTGGTGGCCTTGGCGCGAATGGCATGCTCATTCAAGTGGACCCGTAATTCTTGGAGGCGTCTCAACCTCTGGGCAACCTCCTGCGGGATGTCACGAACGATGAGGTTGGATGTAGTGTGCAGCCACACGCGGTTGCCGGAAGCAGGACTGTGAAGCTCCTCCCACGGCCCGCGGCGGGCCTGGAGCTCCTGGAACTCCCTCTTCATATCCTCGAGCGTCGGCTGTCTAGGGGGCCCGGCCGCAAGCTCCACTGGTGGGCCGGGCTGAGGGTCTCGCACGTCACCCGGGTGGTCCCACTGGCTGATTCCCGAGGCACGATGCATGAAGTAGAGCGCCCCACTTAGCGGACGTCGCGCTTCCCACCCAGGCGGGAGGGGTGGCGGGCTCGTAGGCGGCGGTCCTGGAGAGGGCTGCTGTTGCTCCCTGGCGGTGGGTGGCGCCCTCGGCGGAGCGTGGGGCATGGGCGGCTGCTGCGGCGGCGGTGGCGGCGGCGGCTGCGGCTGGAGCTGCTGCAGCGCAAGCCCGACCGTTGCGCCCTCGAAAGCGGCAGCGGGCTCCCTCACGGGGGGCCGCGCCTTCACCGTTAGGGCATGATCCCGATGCACACGCTGGGGCGATATGCCAATCCAGCCCAGCGGAGCGCCGAAGACGCCGGGGGGCGGGCTACCCGGCGGGGGGGGGCCGCAGGGGGCCGCTGGGGCAGCACTTGCACTAGCATCCCGGCCCTCAGCGGGGGCCTTCTCCGTCGGAGCAATAGATGGCACCGGGCTGCTCGAACTGGGGCTGGCTGGCTGGCGCGGCGCCTGCGGCGGCTGGGTGTCCGCGAGTCAGCGCGGCGCTTATGGCGGCTGACAGGGCTGCGCTGGCTCCGAGAAGGCCGGCGGCGGCGGCCCCGCCCCCGGGAGCGGGAGCGACTACTGTCCCTCGGCATTTTCTGCCCTTGAGCCCCGTGGCTCCCAACAAAGCGGCAGTGGCATGAGCGTGCGAGGGTAATGCCGACATCCTCCCAACCTGCGACAACGTCACAGGCGACAGCGCGTCGGCATACCCAGCCACGCTGACCATGTGGGGCATTGACATGACAACGGCAACGACGACGCACGCCCCCTCCCGGCCAGCCAGGGGCTGCCCGACAGACAGCCGGAAGCACATGAGCACCACAATATAAAACAAGGACGTCCAGTGGAGCACGGGACGGGGGGCAGCACAACACGGCACGACGCGGCGGGGCAGGGCACGACCAACGACACAGCGCCGGCACAGCCCACCCCCAGCAAGGCCCGCCCCAGACACCCACACCCAACCCCCGAAGCCCGGCAAAGGGACGGCGGCAAACACGCACAGCGTACAAACCACGCCACAAGGGCAGTTAAGCAGACTTCGCCGGCCGGCGTCGGAGTAGCCGTTGGACCGTCGTGATAAACCACAGTGACAAGGCCCAGAAGGGGCACCAAAGGCACGGCAACACCAGGAGGCCTCGGCACCGACACGGCACGACGCAACGAACACGCGGCACAGGGCACGACGCAGCAAGCACGCGGCACACCCACGGCACGGCCAGCACTGGAAAAGCAAACGGCACCAGGGGCACGGCACGACGCGGCACGGCACCGCAACAGCACAGCACGGCACCGGAGCAGGGGGCGGCGGCGGCGCGGAGCGAAGAGAAAAGAAGAGAGGACCGGAGCTTGGCACGCAACACCGCACACCCCACGAGGCAAATATATGTTCTCGTAGAGACGAAGGTCCAAGCAACGGGGATGGCACAGGTCAGTTACACCATCAGAGAAATGGGGGTTAACGGTGGACACCGACGGCGACGACGACGGCGACGACGACGACGACGACGACGACGACAACGACCGGAGACACCCGGGCCAACCTGAGTTGCCCGAGAGACGGCCGGCGATACACACGCTCGCAACATACAACTAAGACCCCATCATGACACGAGCCAACGACCGCAAGATTGGCACTGCACGTTATGGGGAAGAACATGCTAATGTAGGCAGACGTGGGAAAGCAACTGCGACACATGAGGGCAACAAGCAAAGACAATGTTTCTCAGGACTCCCGCTGGTGGGCGCACAAAGGGTACAGCCGAAGCACCTTGGAAAACTCGCAGCAGAAGCCTTGCATATCATCCACGGTTCGGGTGTTGGTCATGTGCGCCTCCAACGCTTCTGCCGCTGGCAGATCGCCAATCTGTCGAAACTCATTAACAAGAGAACCCACTATCGCTCTGTAAGCGAGCCACGCCTTCCGCAACAGCGTAGAATAAAAGGTTCTGGCGCCCTCTGAGGAAGACGAGTCCAGTAGCTTCGTTGGGAAGCCAAAGTATTGGTTGAGAAATCTTCGTGCTCCTGGTCCAACAAGCATATGGTAATCCCAGTCGCTCGTGAGGCGCTTGGATTTCAGGGGAAGTCTGCTGTAGCGGTGCCTGGTGTAAATCCTCCAGGCGCTTTTCTTGCCAAAAAAGCCGAACGATGGAGCCGATGCATTGTGCAGCGACAACATCAGCTCAGCCTTTGAGCGCACACTATTGTCCGCATTTCGGAGGGGGAGGTGATCTATGGATTCCGCCACGAAATAATCGTGCCTTGCTAAATGATCGAGAGCCTCTTCTTTAGAAAGCGACTTCAACTCAGAGTGCCGCACTTTGTTATATACCGAGTGAACCGCGAACATCTGGCAGGGGTGCGACATTTTGGCCGCCACATGCCGGATGATGTCACGCGGTCCCTGGCCTCGAAGCTCCGACAAGTCATCCAAAACTATTTTCGCAAAAGCAAGCGTGCAGCAGACTGACAACACATATGCAAACGTCCATCTAAACTTTGCCGGCAACTTGACCATAATCGTATCTTGGGCCCCCGACCAGGGGGCTGCAAATTCGTCTGAAAGGCTGGTAGCTCGAAGTATTTGGCCGTTGGTGTACCCACTATCCAAGAATGGCAGAGATTCGAGAGACAGGCGCTGCCGATCCGGGAGATCGTAATCTGCCCTGTGCACGTGCTGGCCTCGAACCGCGAAGAGTTGAGCGAGCGCTCTCAGGATCTCCTGCCGCCCCTGTCTGGGAGGCTCGAAGGCGTAGTACTCCTCATCCGCCTCGTCGTACCGCCAAGCCTCCGGCGCCGGCTCTGGCCGCGCCCCCTCCTCGGAGCAGCGGCGCTTAGGATGCCGGCCTGGCAGCAAGGGCGCGTCGTCACTGTCGCTGGGGGCGGCCATGGCACACCGAGCCGGCGCGCGCTGCCCTCTCCGCCCGCCAGCTGAAAAGGCCGCGGGTGGCGGACCCAACGCGGAGGGCCAAGCGACGGACCAGAGGGCGCATAGGACGCTTGAGATGACGCACAGCACTCTCTGAAACAGCCCGGCAAGGCGAGGAAAACTCACAACCGTTCGGCCGCCCATCTTTGGAGGGGGGGCAGGAACCTAGAAGAGGGCAGCCCCCTCAGGTCCCCCTCTTCTGGGTTTTGCCCTGGTTGCTTTATATAATGCCACTTGCAGAGAGGGAGAGGGGGGAGGGCGGAGGAGCGCGAATGGAGGACGGCGCTCCCCACCAGGGCAAAGCCCTGGTTGACAGCCCCCCCCTGTGACATGCAGAAAGGCATGCAGGCGAGACGCCGCCGCCGCCGCCGCAGACGACGACGACGACGACGACGACGACGACGGTCCACCCCACCCGCCCACGGAAGCCCCAGGGCCAACGGGGACGAGCAGCGGCCGGCCCAAGGACCCAGGAACCCCGGGACCGCGGGCACCCAAGCAAAGCGACGGCCCCGGGGCCCACCCCAAGGAGACAAACCCAGAAACAAAAAAAAAAACATAGCAGACCCGGGGGGCACGACCTCACGGGGTCATGTCTCCCAGGGTCATGCCGTACTCCGACGCCCTGGGGGTCAGGTAGGGCGTAAGATATGACGTGCACATCTGAAGTGGAGCAAAAAAGGCCGGGAAACCCAGGACGCGGGTCCAGCCTGACAACTCACCCTTCTGGGGGGCGGGAAGAGCAGACCCTGGAACAACAGACCCTGGCTCGGGCATGTTGGCACAGTTTTTCTGATGCAGAACCCATCCAAGCGGGGGGGGGGGGCGCGGAGAGGCGGCCTTTCACGCTCCCACGACCGACCCCATCCACCGACACACCATCATGAGGGAGAGGGGGGGGGGCAGGGATGGAGGGAGGGAGGGAAAAGGTAGTGAAGGAAGAGGTGGCAGCAAGATGTGCTGATTACACTCCAGGGCGCCTCACCCTTGCCTCCCCCGTGCCTCCACAGACGCTGCCATACCCATTCCCCCATTACGCTGCACATGACATGCTTGGCTGCACTGCGGTAGCCACAACGGCCTTGCAGGACCACGGCATAGGTTATTACCAGAGCGCCAGTGAAGCATCGGGAACGTCAATAGCGAAAGAGCGCCCCCCCCGCAGAAGGCCAGGCACACAGCAGAGAGGACAACACAAGAGGCGATACAGGGCGGCCATGGGCGACACTGACCCCCATGACTCCAAGGAGCCTCGACGGCCAGCCCCGCCCCAGAACCGCCCGCACTTTTTTGCAGAAGCAGACGAGCACAAACGCAAGGGCGAGCGAGACTGCTCGTGCTACCCAGCACTCGCTGCTCTACCCAATGCATGTAGGCCCAAGGGAAAGGGGGGACAGGGGAGGGGAAAGGGGAGGGGCAGGCAAGGGCGGGCGAGGGCAGGGAGGGGCAAGGGGAAGAGACCAGGCGCATAGGAACCCTCACCGCTCCTGACATCAAAATGCTGCGCTGCACCGCAAAGCAAGCACATGGCCCGCTTTCTGGGAGCCGCACTAGACGGCGCTCCCTCCCGACGCTCGAAGGGAGCGCTGGCAGACAACGTCCCCCATCGCTCGTACACCCAGGAGTGGAGAGACCCCGGCCCATGGCCGGCGCGCCGCGCCCGCCCCCGCCAGGGCGACCAGGGGCGCCCCACGACGCCCAGACGCAACGCCAGAATCTTTAACAAGCTTGAGCAAAAATGGCTTGAGCCAAAATGGCTACGGCCTCGTGCCTGTGCTGTCCTCGTGCTGTCCTCGCGCGTCCTCGTGCAGCAGCGCTGTTCTCGCGCTGGCGCCGTCGTCGTGCTAGGCCGCCGGTTCCTGGCCCAGGGGCGTGAGCCACCAGACCCCTGCGTTAGGCGCGCTGGCTGATGAGCGCGCGCGCCGCCTCCCGGACCACGCAG